CAGCTCACAGCAACCCCCAACTCCTGAGCTCTAACGATTCTCCTGCCTCCACCTCCCAAGTAGCTGGTACGACAGGCGCCCACCATGACGTCCAGCTATTTTTTGGTTGCAGTCCTCATTTATTGTTTGGCAGCCCTGTTTGATACTAACAGTATCACATATTGACAGCCATTAGCATGGTGTGATACTTTGGAAATTTTGAGTTAACTTTTAAGAATTCAGGAATTGTTGCCTGAGTTCACAGGTTCATGACCAGCCTGAGCTAGAGTGATTCCCTGTCTCTAAAAATAGCCAGGTGTTGTGGCTGGTGCCTGTAGTCCCAGCTACTTGGGAGGATGAAGCAAGAGAATCACTTAAATCTAAGAGTTTGGGTTTGCTGTGAGCTATGACCTCATGGCAATCTCCAGAGGGTGATAAAGTGAGACTCTGTCTCAAGAAAAAAAAATTCAGGAATTGTGCCACCAGATATCTCAGAATGGGTTTTTCATATTAACAGGCTTTTATAAACATGTTGGATTATGTAACTTGGTGTTTTAAGGTAGAAATTTTATTTACTTGGTCAAAGTAGCTTTGGAAGGATGCTTTTTTTTCTTTTTGCAATTTTTTTTTGGCTGGGGCTGGGTTTGAACCCGCTACCTCCGGCATGTGGCGCCGGCACCCTACTCGTTTGAGCCATAGGCGCTGCCCAAAGTAGCTATAAGTATCTGTTGACAATTTCTTTTTTTCTTTTTTGTTTTTTTGAGACAGAGCCTCAAGCTATTCCCCTGGGTAGAGTGCCGTGGCTCATAGCTCACAGCAACCTCCAACTCCTGGGCTCAAGTGAGTCTCCTGCTTCTGCTTCCCAAGTAGCTGGGACCACAGGCGCCCGCCACAGCGCCTGGCTATTTTTTGGTTGCAGCCATCATTGTTGTTTGGCAGGCCCGGGCTGGATTTGAACCTGCCACTTTAGGTGTATGTGGCTGGTGCCTTAGCCACTTGAGCCACAGGTACTGAGCCGACAATTTCATTTATTTATTTATTTATTTATTTTGAGGCAGAGCCTCAAGCTGTCCCCCTGGGTAGAGTGCCATGGCATCACAGCTCACAGCAACCTCAAAGTCAAACTCCTTGGGCTTAAGCTAGCAGTTCTCAACCTGTGGGTCATGACCTACAGGAACTGTATTAAAGGGTTGCAGCATTAGGAAAGTTGAGAACAAGTGGCTGAAGCAATTCTCTTGCCTCAGCCTCCTGAGTAGCTGGACTACAGGTGCCTGCCACAACTCCCAGCTAGTTTTTGGCTGCCGTTGTCATTGCTGTTTGGCGGGCCCAAGCTGGGCCCAGGGTGGGCCCAAACCTGCCACCTCTGGTGTATGTGGCTAGTGCCCTAGCTGCTCAGCCACACAGGCACCAAGCCAGAGTGATTTTTATAATTATAACATTTTGCGGCGCCTGTAGCTCAGTGGGTAGGGCACTAGCCACATACATTGAGGCTAGGGGTTTGAACCTGGCCTGGGCCAGCTAAAGCAACAATGATAACTGCAATAAAAAAATAGCCAGGCTTTGTGGTGGGCGCCTATAGTCCCAGCTACTTGAGAGGCTAAGGCAAGAGAATCACTTGAGCCCAAGAATTTGAGGTTGCTGTGAGCTGTGATGTCAGAGCATTGTCCTGAGGGCAACGTAGTGAGACTCTGTCTCAAAAAACAAACAAAAAAACTATAATTATAACATTTTATTAAATCCACTTTAGCATATCGGGAATAGATTTTTTATCTACACATACTGTATGTAGACTAAAAAAGTCAACACTGCTTTAAATCAAGAAATAATTGTGAGGCTGAGGCAGAATTGCTTACACCCAAGAGTTTTAGGTTGCTGTGAACTGTGATGGTATAGCACTTTGCTGAGGGTGACATAGTGAAACTTTGTCTCAAAAAAAAAAAAAAA